CTTCTCAAATCCATATGGAACATTCTGTAGGATAGACCATACATCAGGCCATGAAACAAGTCTCAATAAATTAAAAAGGCTTGAAATCATATAAAGTGTTTCTTCCTCTCACAATGGAATGAAATTGGAAATCAATAAAGGAAAGGAAACTTGGAAATTCATGAATATGTGAAAATTAAGTAACACATTTCTAAATAACAAATTGATCAAAGAAGCAGTAAGAGAAAATGGAAAAATTTTGTAGGTGTTTGAGCCTTCCCATTTGTGGCATTTTCTGTTAGAGAAGCATAAAGGTAACCAAAATACTGCTGAATGAAAATGCAAATATAAGAGGTCAAAATTTATGATATTCAGCTAAACCAGTGCTTAGAGAAAACTGTATAGCTATAATATCTATAGGCACTCTGGTAGCATAGTGCCTAAGGCACTTGACTGCTAACCAGAACACTGGCAGTTCAAACTCACCAGCCACTCCTCGGAAGGAAGGTTGGGCAATCTACTTCTGTAGTGATACTGCCTCAGAAACCCAAGGAGGGGTCGCTATGAGTCGGGTCTGACTCGACGGCATGTAACAACAACAGCAACAACAATAATATCTATATTTTTAAAAAGATCTCAAATCTATAACTTAACCTACCATCTTTAAGAAACTAGAAAAATAAAAGTAAACTAAATCCAAATCAAGCAGAATAAAGACAAAAAATAAAGATTAGAGCAAAAATTGATGAAAGGCATAACTGAATATCAAAATAAAATTAATTAAATGAATTTTGTTTTGTAGAAATGTAAAATGTTTAGCTGGACTGAGCATGTAAAAAAGAAAATTCAACTAATTGAAATTGAGAATGACAGAGGGAACATAACTACCCACTTCACATGAATGAAAAAAATTATAAGAAAGTACTATGAACAATCATATGACAACAACTTAGATAACATAGATGAAATAAACAAATTCCTGGAAACAAACAAACTGTCTCCAGAAGAAATAGAAAATATTAATAAGCCAATAACAAATAACAAAATTAAATTAATAATCAAGAAACTTCCCACAAAGATGATGAAAAAGTTGTAGAAATAGATAGTGATGATGGTTGTACTATATTGTGAATATAACTAATGCCACTGAATTGTACAGTTAAAAATGGTTACAATGGCAAATTTTATGTTATATATATTTTACCACAATAATAATTATAATAATAAAAACTTCCCATGTAGAAAAGCCCAAGACTAGATGGTTTCACTGGTGGATTCTACTTAATATTTAAAGACTTCATACTAGTTCTTCACAAACTCGTCTCAAAAATAGAAGCAGGGGAACAGTTCCCAACTATTAGACTAAAGCAATTCCAATACCAAAATCAGACAAACACATCTTGAGGAAAGAAAAACAAAGATCAATACGCTTATGAATATTAATGTAAAATACTAGCAAACAAAATCCATCACCATATAAAAATGATTATACACCATGACCAAAAATGCAAGGTTAGTACAACATACAAATATCAATCAGTATAATATATTAGTAGAAGAAAGGGTATATATATAGTATATACGTACAAAACCAAAACAAACTCACTGCCATCAAGTCAATTCTGACTCGTAGTGACCCTCTTTGGGTTTCTGAGGTGGTAAATCTTTATAGAAGTAGATTGCCCAGTCTTCATTCCATGGACTGGCTGGTGAGTTTGAACTACTAACCTTCTTGTTAGTAGTCAAATGGCTTAGGCACTATGCCACCAGAGCTCCTTAGTACATATATATGGAGAGAGAGGAGATATATATACATATATATATATATATATATATATATATATAT